TTTTGCCCCAATAATAGGCGCAGAAGTTGTTTGAATCTTCGCGAATTTCGCCGCGCAATTTGCCGCGCGCGCCCAGAATCGCACGAATCGCACGTCCCCCGTGACGAGGGGTTCAAAACGTCGTACCCTTGACAAGGGTGGTCGGGAAGTTCCTCAGATTTGCTGCTGTTACGCAATTGCAGACTGCTACCGTGGATCGTTATAAATTAACTCTATTTTTTCATATTTTCGTTGGCACATGTCTTTGGATCGAATTAAATTAGGCGTAAGCTTACGGTAGCTGCAGAAGTCTGTGCCAACGGTGATGGGGGGTATAGCGCGTTTGACCACCATCGTCACTTCTTGTCAAGTTTCAAGTGTAATGTTCATGTTCGTGTTCATTTATGTTTTAATATGTTCAGGTATTGTACCTAACGCCGAAATTACGCTATGTGTGGTGTTCGTTATTCGCTAAGCTACGCTTATGCTAAGCGTTTATGCAGGCGTTCGATGTGTTTGCTTCGTTTCAGATTTACACAGATGAGTTGGGCTGTTATCTGGTTTTCACCGCCCTCATCGCGAACCGATTCCTTGTGAATTTGGAGTTTGTGAGTCCAGCGTTTTTTAGTAGCTTATTTTCACTCCTAAATTATTACTACTTAACGTACGTACGCGTACATTAGTACTTGACTCAATGAATGCACGTCTACAAGAAATGTAAGTTTCACATTATCTCTGAATACAAATCAGTTTGCTCCGAGTAGAGCTTGTGCCAACTCGATTCTACAGCTGCATCCAAAATAGTAATTCGCAAAGGCAGAGGGTCCGGGGCATTGACTCATCCGCTATTTTCACCCTGGTGTAACTTCAATAAATAATGTTTGTGATAAATTCCAGTTTATTTCTCTTGTTGTCCATAAGTATAGCAGCCATCGTCAGAAATGTGATATCAGTGTGTCGAAGCCTTTCAGTGCTCTGGCATTACCTTGTATGATTCCCATGGTGCAAAAATTTTTAAGGGATGAGCATGTCACTAAAGGCGACCTGTCCACCACTGCCCCACCAAAACTAGCTTGTGGGGGATGCGCTATGGCCGCACAAACGAGTAGTTTTTTTCATGTTTCGTCACTGTTATTGATGTTTTAGCTCAGCTAATTTGTTAATTGTGATATTGGTCGTCTTGAACGTTAGTTGTCGGTTGCCAGATCGTATAAGGTCTCATCGAAGTCGCATAGGGTAGTTCACATGCAGTAGGTAATAGTGTTTCCATTGTTTCGTTTACTGTGATCAGCCTAGGCAAGCATTTTGTGCTATAACTGCTTAATATGAGAAAAATAATTTCAAAAGTGGTTCGAATATAGTCGAGAAACCAAAAGAGGTCGTCATTTTTTTTTTTACAATCGTTCAGAGTCGTGTCGTCATTGCGCTTTAGCGGAGCATTGTTAAAATCGTTCAAAAGCATTATTTGGAGTGTTTTCGCACGACCTCTGCGCCCAACATGAACGATTTTTTTGCAGTCTGACTGTAAGTGATGTTTTCAACGGGTCCGGGAACTTCTCCCCTAACACGGCGTCGCAGACTCCGCACCCGCCGCCTATCGCGGAATTGCGATGGAAGATTGGAGCGCGCAATTTGTGAGGTAGGGAGTCCTTTAATTATTTGAATTGGCTGGCCGCTCTTTTCATTTCCAATGCGGTCTTGATCGTCGTTTATGTAGGAGGGGTCATTCTAATTAATCAAGTCTAATAAACACGAAAACGAAAAAGAAACAGAAGAAAAAACGATTAAATCTAATAAAAAAGCAAGGCAATCAACGAAAAATTCCGCGTCCTATCGATTGGCGGGAGTACGGTAATTGCAGTGACATTTGCCGCAAGCCGCAAGGGAGAATGCCGCGATAGGGGAGAAGTTCCGTTACCCGTTTTCAACCAGCTCCCACAGGCTGCTGTCAACAATTGGCCGACTTTCTTGTAATTAAGCTTGTGCCACCTGGTCGTGAAGTACTTAACCACAAATTTTTATAATCGCCGAGGTCTCGTCGAGTCACTCGCAGCGAATCTGTAGCTCCTGAGTTTCATGCAGAATTTGTGTATAACTCAAATTCCTTCTATCTCTAGTATTTTTGTTTTCTACACCCTAAATGCATGCTGCTCATTCGAATTAGGAGGAAACATATTGAATTTGGTGCACCCGCACACCTTTGACTACGATAGGTGCGAGGGTTGAAGTCACACCCGCCTCACACAGGCGTCGCCATGTCATTGGCCAGCCGCAGCCGACACAGTAATCGTTGTGCGCCATCGTCCGATTGCATTAGTTCTCATCGGGACTGGTAAAGGGTGCATCGGGTGGTACTGTAGCTCTCTATTTTGCGGCAATTTTTGCTGAACTGACTTAACAACTCCGGCGATGATGTAAGCATTTTTCTGAGTATAGAAAAGTGGCTTCTGTAAACGAATTATCTAGCGCTAACTTATTTCAGCTTGTTCTTTTCAGGACGCAAAAAAATAAAAATAAATATAAAAAAATAAAAAAATAAATGCAAGTATTAACCTTTCAGAGCTCACAGCTTTGAGTTGAAAATTCTTGTTTTTTCTTGATGAATTAATAACCGATGACGTTTCTGAGTCCATACCAAAAATACTGCCCAGTTGCTAGCAAACTCTTATTGAGTTCTGTAGTTTTGCATTTGATCGTCTCACGCTGTGGGCCGTACAAAATAATATCGATCTTGCGTTGATTCTCCACTCAAGTTTTTTCGAAGAGCAGCCATTTTTACATTGACAGGATCAATGGAATCAAAGAATGGGAAGAAATTTAAAACGCCAATGGCTGAGAGGATGTATGGAGTCAGTATTTAAGCTCTCCCTTGACTAGAATTCAGTGAGATTTTGTATCTATTCCAGCAACTGTATAAAGAAGGGAAACAAAGCAGATTGGCAGCAGCCTTCTTGAGTGATGGCGATGATGAGGTATGTCTACTTTGGCTTCTGTGAATCAAAAGTGTGCTTAGTATACTCCTGTCAACAATTTCATGTCAAACTTCCCTCTCATACATGTGAACAGGTCGGGTGCTACTCTCTTTGCTAAGGGAACTTACTTCTGATCATCTACACACCTATCACTCCCTTTTGTTGAAAAACTTGACGTTCACCGAAAATATACTTTGGGGAGTTTACTGGGTTCCTACAGAAAACAGCCCTTTCATGTAGATCTTATGTTGCTTTATCCAAATGATTGATGAATCGCAGTAAACTACTTCTTCAGATGTAATCATTGATGATTATGGGTGATATGGTATACATTTTTGTTAGAAGTGATTATGGTTCCATCAGCCTTAAGAGCCTTTCTTCTTTTGTATTCGTATTCACGTAATACCTAGAAGTTAAAGGTGCCGGAAATCATAAACGTGCCACTTGATTCCAAATGCCCATTTGATCTTCAGTTCATTCAACCCAACTAACTTTTTAGTTTAACATGAGTTCAAAAAGCTGTATGGAAATCAGAGGTTCATTAATGTCTAGGGTGTGCAACCATGGGGTAATGAATGTTAGATAGACGTTTTTCTACAAACAACGTAGATTAACCAAGTGACAATCTATTTCTGACCATTTCTCGTCATCCTGGAACTACAGCCGCCCGATCAGTTGTCGCATGTGTTAAAATAAGCAATGGATGCAGCAGGATTGGACTGGATGACTCTTATGGAGCAGAGGCATCCGCTGGGAGCGTGGGTATTTGGATAATAGCCGCCAACACTACTTGAAGTTCTCAGTGATCACGGCCATTTCGATGGAAATTTCGTGCACCGAACGCAACGCACATGAAACTATAGTACCCATTCCCTTTTTTCATGTATTTTTTCGATTTTAGGGTCCCCAACCTGTGCCTAGCGTATTGGCTCGCAGACTTGCCACCGATTTG